CGCTGCCTCGGTGCGCGGTGCCAGGCCCCGCACGCCACAGGGCCGGGGAAAGCCGGGAGCCGGGGTGCTTGGATGAGTGGAAAAGAGCACAAATCACAGAATCACAGATTTAAGATCCTCAAGTCCAACCATCGAACCAGCCCTGAGTCCACCACTAGACCATGTCCCTGAGCATGACATACATCTTGTCTTTTAAACACCTCCAGGGATGGTGACTCCACCACCTCCCTGGGCAGCCCCTTCCAATGTTTGACACCCCTGTCAGTAAAGAAATTCCTCCTCATATCCAACCTAAACCTCCCCTGGCACAACTTGAGGCCATTACCCCCTGTCCTATCAAGCTACAAGGGAGAAGAGACTGACCCCCACCTCACTACAACTTCCTTTCAGGGAGTTCGGCATTACAGCTGGCATTGCCTTTTGCTGTAAGTCCTCTAACACACTGCTTATTTGTGTGTCAGATCGCAGTGGAGTAGAATAGGATAACTGTGGATGTGTGGATAGTGTTTTCTGATGGATAATGAAATACCAGCAATGAGGGGTGACAGCAAAAGAAACTCCTGGATTAATGCTTGAGACAGAAGAACAGCCGTGCCAGCTCAGGCTGAAGATGCAGCTGAGGCAACCTCTGCCTCCCGTGTTCTTTGTTTAAAGCCATGTTCTTTATGAAACGTTTAGGTAATGCATTTGCTGCAGTCCAGAGTAAAAAACGTGTATTTTCGGTATCTGAAAAACAGCTGGTTTCTGGACAAAAGTATAGTGGAAGCAAATATCTTAGTCGTTTACTTCTTAGATTTAGGCATGGCGCTTAATCAATCATACATGCTGAAGGGCAAACACAGTGTTTTTGATGGCAAAAGGAGGGGTTTCCTGTCCTGCTGTATAGCTAAGAAGAAACCACTTGGTTGTCTTGAATTGTCGGTGTTGTACAGTAAGTGGTCACTGAAGAGGGAAGCAGGGAACGGTGGGGGCTGTTGCAGGCACAGGTCTGTGGGGCTGAAGCTCCCGCAGCTCCTTGGCTGGTGCCTGGTTCTCCTCTCACTGAACTCCTTGGGTTTTCAGCCCCGTTTAACGGCTCGTGTCACCTCTGTCTGTCCCCGTGCACTGGTGCTCTGACCTGGAAGCCGCATCACAGCAGTCCAGATCTGTGTTTTTGAGTTATCATCTCTAAAACAGAACCTGGAATCTCCTGTAATGACTTGAGCCATGAAAGGTCATTATAATGGACTGGGTAATGTACCCAGTTATGGTTTTGATAAATCCCGTAGTCCTAAACCAGCCCTGCTGAATCTTGTCACCAGATCTCGCACTGTTAAGGGACCAGAACCTGTGGCCCAAAGCCGTGTGTTTTACCTGCAGACCCCTTGGCCCATGGCAGGAAAGCTGAAATACGGTCCTTGGTCTGTGGGGTTCGTTTCTTCAGTCCTCTTTTCAGTTGAGTTTAGGATCAGCGTAATTGCAGTTTCTGCTGAAAAACTGCAGGGGTTTGTCACGTGAGCTTGCGGTTTACCAGTTTACCATAGAGAGTGGAAACTTTCATCATGGACATTTTTGCTCTTGCCAAGAAAGATGAACGGAAATGTGCAGATGGTGCCCGATAGCCAGTTTCACATTTCATGAACCTGTACTACAAAGAAAGAAAACCTTTTAGTGTATTTGCTTGATAAACTACTGCCAGACTTTGCAGGTATATGGATGTAGGCTCCGGTGGGATGAGCTGTGTGATTCACTGGACAAGACAATGCTGCGTTTTCCTCTTTTCTCCCAGAGGAACCATTGCACAGCACCGCGTGTCTCAAACGTGCCCTTTGTACATGTGTAATTCTCAGTTCCTTGGGGGATTTTGATTTGTTTGGGGGTTTTTTTACCTCTTGTTTCCAGCTACGCTGGGCGCTGTGTTTGGTGTAACTTCCTGCCTCAGTGCCCAAATCCGAGAGAAACCGGATGATCCCTTGGACTACTTCATAGGAGGCTGCGCAACGGGAGCTGTCTTGGGTGCCAGAGGTAAACGTGGATGATGCCTGTCATGAAATGAGCCCTCTCTGGTTTTAGAAATCTTTCTGCTGGGGAGAAATGCGAAATAATTGTGATGTCAGGCTCATTTGGAAAGATTCATCTCAGCTCGTGAGTTCCATTTCATGCCAGTTTTGTAACGGTCCATACAGGTCTGCTAAAATAAATAGTGCTGCAGGAGGAGCCCAGAGAGAGCTGACCCAGTACTGCCCATTGTAACTGCCAGTTATAACTTGAAATTGCAGGGCATGAACAGCGTAATTGTGGAAATACGTGTTTTCATGGCAACGGATGTGATTTAATTTACACAGAAAAGAGAATCTCACATCTGCCTTGTGAATTCTTCATGCACTTCAAGCTGTATCTTGCTGTGGCTCCTGCAGACGTTCACGTGGATCTGTTTTCTCTAGGCTTTTTCAGACTCATTGTTAAAGATGTGAGGGGTTTATTTTAAGTTATAATTGTGGTGAAATAGGATTTGCCCTTGCTTTTCCTAGCTGCTGAGCTGCTGAGAGTTTGAAGCAGTGATTGTCATTGTTGCCACTGAAAATGAGCAATCTGAGATTGCCTGTGTGAGGAGATGGGGTCGTGGATTATAGAAATCGATCTTTCAAACCGCAAGCTAAAAGCATGAGAAAACTGAATTTAAAAAAAGGTCACCTCACTGATTTCTCTTGGCAAACAGCATTACTGATGGTCAAGGGACTGTGAGTAACTCATGGAAAAATGGCAGCCTGTTGAGATTTACTGCGTGATACTTGTGCCCCAGCAGATCCTTCATGGTTTGATTTGTTTTCCCTAGCTCACAGTTACATGACCGGAACCACTGCATGTTTGGGGTTTGGAATCACCGCTGCTCTCATCAAGATCGGTAACAAGGAGGGCTGGAGGATGACGGGACCCCCCAAGCTGTAAATGTGGCTTTTCCTCGCTGTGGGCTGTCTTTGAATGCTGTGTAACCAGACGTCGTGCAATAAAGACCCTGTCAAATCAGCAGTGTGCTCACTATTTTGATGCTGTCCGGGTGCTTGCCGAGATGCGAAAATGTTGGAGCTGCTGGTGAGGAAGCTTTGATCTGCTGCTCCTGCTGGGGTTTCTTTTTCACACACAGGTCACTGCCTCCACATCTCTGTGTTGTGCACACCAGCTTGAAGGGTACAGTTTGCCATTTTCAGTCTGGTCTGGTTGTTTCGAGTGGGTCCTGCAGGACTTTTTGGCAGATTCTGGAATTGCCCCGCACTGAGACCATCAGCAAGGGTTTGGAGTCAAAACTTCTATAGAGGTGCTTGGCTCTGGGTGGAGAATTAGGAGTTTGGGGTGGGGGAAGGAGGTGTAGATGGGCCAGGAAGTGCTTGGGAGCCTGGGGACTCTCTTGGATAAGAATTTAAGGAAGTCTGGAGCCCACAACTTCAGGGTCAGAGCTGAGGTTGAAGGGACCCCTGGAGCTCTTGTGCTGAAGCTGAGCAGGTGGCTGAGGGCTGTGTCCAGGTGAGTTTCCCTGCACAAGCTGAAGCGTGGCCGGTGCAGAGGGTTGAGGCTGGAGATGTGTGAGGAGGGGCAGGAGCTGCATCAGTGAGCATGGAGAGGTGATTTAACGGCATTTTTTCATAATGGGCACAGAAGAGGCAGGGTCAGGTGCTCAGTAGAGGATGAGAAACGACATACAAGTTTCAGCAAGGGAAATTCTAACTAGATAGAAGGGGGAGGAAGTAAATCTCACAGTTGGGGGTAGATAAGTGCTGGAAAATGGGTTTGGAAAGGCCGTGAAATCATCATCTCTGGGGACTTCAACCACACACATGAGGGTGTGAGGGTACAGGACATCTGGGGATGGGGATGTGAGTTAAGAGAGAGAGGGAATGGGAATATGGGTAGGAGGAGAAGTGGGGATGAGAGGAAGGGACAGGAGATAGGGGAACCAGAGACGACGAGATCTGGGGACTGAAGGACAGCAGAGGAGGGGATAGAGTGACACGAGGACATGGTCACAGCCATGGCAGGCTGTGTTGCTGCCAGGGTTGTGCTCTGTGGGCAGGAGGTGTCCTGGGGGGTACAGGGTGGTCCTGGGGGCACCCGGAGCTGGGCCAAGGGTCCGGTGTCCCCATGTGCTCCCTGGCACTGGGGCTGGAGCCCCCCTGGCTCTTCGGTGTGGGAGCCAATGGAGCTGGGCCCCAGTTCAGGAGCACAGTGGGGGAGTATGAGGGTGTCACCCCATGGGGCTGGGAGAGCAGGGGGGTTTGTTTCACCCAAGGATTTTTGAGGGGGGCCCTTGTTCACCCTGAGCTCTGGAGGAGAGCAAGGTTTGGGGGGTCTGATGAGTCAGAGACCCCCAGCAAGAGCTGCCCAGGGTGGCCCAGCGCCGAGGTCTTGGACCTCCCTCCGCCTGCGCCTCTCCCGGCTCCGGCCACGGCCACGTGTCCCGTCTGGGCTATAATTACCCGGACACATTCCTGGGGGGTCACAGGAGCTTCCCGAAGCGGTGGCAGGCGGTAAGAGGACGAGCGCACGGCACGGCACAGTGCGGCACGGCATGCCTCACGGCAATGCAGGACACGGCTCGGGCCTGCAATGTGGCCCCAGCAAGGACACGCGACACCCTGCACACACAGCGAGCAACACGTGAGGTGCCGCTCGTGACGGGGCAGGGGGGTGACGCGGTGTGGCACGGGGTGACACGGTGTGCTGTGCAAGGACCGGGACGGCCGATGGCAGTGCAAGAGGGCGCGTGATGTGCACCATCACATGCGACTCGCAGGGCAGTGCATGGTGACACGCGACACGCAGTGCAACAGGCGGCACAACACACAACCCATCCACACGGGTGGGACAGGCAGCTTCACCGTAGAGCTGTTGCGGGGACCAGGAGCTTTGCCGCTGCTGGAGCACCAGTGGTTTTGTCTATGAGGAAATGGTTGGGGAAGGGGGCAGTGGGCTGAGCTGTGGGGCTGTGGCTTTCAGCTGCGGCAGCAGAGCTGGCTATGAGT